ACATGATAATTTTGCAATTAAAAGAAATAATCATCCATAAAAAGCTTTCAAACATGGAAACTATGCAACAAAATCCGACATTTACAGATAATTCTCAATGAGCAGCAAGATACCTGAAGCAATTCCAGCTGCTGCACCAGCTGCGACAAGAGCTATTCGCCTTTCTCGGTTGTTTTCCATCATCATTGAACATCCATAGGCACAAGATTTACCTATATCTACACTGGGGCCTTCAGGACCTAAAGAACAACCAGTTCCCAAAGTCACAGCAGCCTGAATAGCCTTTACAGTAGGGAAGACTCCAGCTAACAAATCAAACCCTTGTCCCTGAGAAGAACTGGATTGTGTTATTTGGTCCAATATCTCAAGCAGACCATGCAGCATGCCCACAATAACTCCACCGAGGACTGGTATTAGAAGTATCCGATGCCATGTGTCAGCTAGCCTTTGCAAACGGAGCCAAGCAGCTCCCTCATTGGGAGTACCAGCCCAAGCCCACTCATGTACTACATGCACCTAACAAATATCCTCATTGTCATTCAATGTCTGAGAAGCACTACAGTTCAAACTACTGGTCTATCATCAAAACAGCATCAGAAATACAGTTTAACTAAAACAGCCAAGATTCTTCACCTTTATTTGGCATGAACGTGGACAGACATTACAAGACACAATATTATTAAATTTGTCTTCTGTATCCCTGTTCCCCCAAATAGAAAGCAGCTTAAGTCACTAAAAAATGTGTCAGCACATTAAAATCATCTACAACTGATAACCTTCAACCCCAACAAAAAATAGATAAACAAGAGGTGTCCTTTGACATTCAATGTGCAGCTTTTCATCACAGAGCAGTTCACCGTCTGCCCTTCCCCTTCAGTAGCAACTATCTAATGACAGTTTTACAAAATCTCCCTCACTTGCTCAGACATAACTAAATCAATGACATTAGATAATTCCTGAAAGAAGTTCAGAAAGCTATAGAACATAAAAAGCTCTCGCCTTTTTCACTGTTGCTCGAACTTAATCTATCAATCAACAAAGCCTCAACCAAAAACTAGTCTGGATCAGCTGACTGAATCCTTTATATCCAATTTCACTTCCAACACATTTTGTTTCGGTACCAGTAAATTATTTGTCTTTTAAGCTAAATTAAAGGTTCTCTGAGCATGGAATTCGAAACTAAACTAATAATAATCACAACACAATGAAAACTAAAAGAATCCTGACTAACCCCACGATTAAAACCCGCAACACAAAGGCCAGTAGCGAGGCCAAGTAGACATCCAACAAGCAGCAATGCCCACTCCGGCGGGGCACTATTGCCGAGAATCTCATCATCTCTACAGTCACCAGTAACGCTAGAAGAAACACCGTGATCAGAAGATGACGGTTGATCCCTATCAGACCGCTTTACACTCGATAGTCTTCTATTCGAAAATCCTCGATCCAATCGCTTCAACAGATCAGTAATGCCTTTATTACCAGTCCTATGCGGAAACTGACCTTCTAAATCTCCATCCGACGCCGATGAATTCGAACGCAACAGCACATTGCGATCACTATACTCTCCTCCTGACATCTCCACAAGCCTTTCTCACAATGTCATCCTCCTTATATAGATCGATGAATACTCTTCGAAGAGTATTTTCTGAGCAATATCTTCGTTTCGGCAACACGCATTCAGGAAGTTTTACAGGAAACGAGACTAATGAGGTGCCGGAGATCGGTATCGGAAATCCGATGGTCAAACTCCGGTGGAATCGCTAACTTGCCGGTGTCGGTGATGGTGAAGGCTGAGCTTATTGGCTAACGAACGCCAAATCTTTTTTGCCGCTATTAATTTTGTTCTTTTTTGGGAAAAAATATTCAAATTTCCCCCAAATGTTTACAAATGTTTAATTTTGCCCTTTATAACAATTTTAAGGCCATTCATACCTTCTTTTTTGGTCTGAGTCTCTGCTTCATTTATTTACACTTCTAAAAAAAAAAAAATATTATGATCATAATTATTAAATGTGATATTTTATTTATTACCTCAATAAGTTTAGGTAAATCTGAAATTTAAATTTATAAGGAGGTTTAAATGTCATTACGATATCTATTCAAAAACTTATATAAAAATGAAAGTTTATAATTACTCTATTTATTTTTTGCCTATGCGCGCCATTATCACCCACTATTCTGAAATGAAATTATCAATCCCACCAATCATCATTATTGACTAACAATCTTACCATCATTATTATTAACAACTATCAATTATTACTGACAAGTGTTGTAAACAATCATCATTACTCCATTTACTATCACAATTATCATTCGACATCGTTAATTATCACCATTAACAACTACAATTAATTATTAATGTTGGTTATTATTACCATTAACTACTATTCATAACCATCACAATTAACTAATCGATAATTGTCAATACTAGCTTCTACCAACACCGATCTCAAATACTTTTTATTAGTAATATGAGATTTTATTAATTTAGTAATTAGTAAGTGTTGATATAAAATAAGTAGTCTTAGTTATTCAATAGGTAGATCTTAAAACAATGTCTCAATATTCACACGTATATTTATATTCAAATATCTAAATTTTAATGCAATTTTGACACTAAGATTTGCATTTATAATCAAATGTATTAATCTTAATAAAAGCAAATAAGACGAGATGTTGAGCTCTAAAGGATGATAATATTCATATAAAATTATGTTATAAATAAATTACTAAATAGTGTTTCTATCTTGTTTAATACTAATAGAATAACAAAAACTATAACGAAAAATATGAAAAAAATAGCGTATACACATATTCTATCTCTACTTTGAAGGTAAAGAGATATTTTATCATGAAGGAGCGAAAGATATGAAATTAAATATCTCACAGTAAGTCATATTTCAAAAAATCCCCTCAAATGTTTTTGTTTATTTTAAACTATTTAAAAAAAATAATAGAATAGTGATTGTGTTAGTCCAGTAACTACACAGTTTTTAAAATTAACTTTCATTTTAAAACTATTCAACTATGTAAATATACAGACACAATCAAGCATGATTATGAGGACTACTCTAATCATGTTTTAACAAATATTTTATTTGTTCCATATTAGTTGTTCATATTATTAAAATAGTCTTTTCAAATTATTTATTAATTTACATATCAAGATAAGATTACTAATTTTTTCATTCTATCCTTATTATTAATTATTTGAACATGTAAATAAGTTTGTAAAGTTAAAATAAAAAACTGAAAGATAAATTAATAAAACTAACATTCTTATTTATGACTTCTTAAGAGACGTGTAAAGAAAAAATATGAAGAATTAATATTATGACAGAGTAAGCATGTATTTTACTTTTAAAATGTGTTTTTATAAAAGTAAAATGTCATGTTTAAAATACATAATTCAAAAGTTTGTTTTTAGAATATTATATGCACATATATTTTTAGATCATAAAATCCAAAATCTTATCTTTTAGAATTTTATACTTAGTTAAATTAAAACACACAAAATAAAAGATAGCAACTCATAAAAATCTCTCTAGTTTAATGAGCCAATTATTTAGATATACACTAATTTGTAATATTATGAATTCTATTAAAATTTGGAGTGTCTAGATAAATATATCTTGAGATACATGAAGTTAATATTATGTGTAATTTGTTATAGATATATTGTATCAAAATGGATTCACATGTATCTGAGATACATAGACAAATTTCGCTTACCATTCTCATATCTCGCTCGCAGATTTGGTATCCAGATACATGCGAATCACATCACATATATGTCCGATGTGATTCACGTGTATTTGCGATACCAAATACATGAGCGAGATATTAGAGTAGTGACTAGCGAGCGAGATGGGATAAAAGACAAATCCCGCTAGCTTTCCTTTTGTTCTCGCTTACCTCTCTCCCTGTTTCACTATATGTGGTTGCAAAAAAAATGTATATAATAGATATATATGACTTGAAATCTGGTATAAAATTATTTATTAATGAGATAAAATATAATTATTTTAAACTATGGAGAAGATCAATAAATATGATAGAAATATCTGTATAATTAGATAGTTTCTCCTGGAATAAAAACAAAAAAATTAGCTTAAATGGAGCTAAAAAAATCCTATTAATTTTCTTCTTTGTTTTCTAAAAAATCCTATTACATTTCTTCTTTGTTTTCCAAAAAATCCTATTACATTTCTTCTTTGTGTTCCAAAAAATCTTATGGTCTATATTTTCTTGACACTATAAGTCCATAACAAATTAACAATATCTCTTATGGTCCCATATCTTTAACACTATAACAATATCAACCATCACATTTCTCTCGTAAAAAAAAATCATCGCAAAATGCATAAATTGGACTCCCTTTAGCTCCATTTGCCCTTCTATTGCTTTCGATAGTCCAATCTACAAGACTTGTGAATGACTCAAATCCCAGTACAGCTCGAATTTCATTGAGCAGATCAGAATTTTCAAATTGAAAAAGCATAATCTGTGTTAAATTTGATGGATTTCTAAGTAAATTTATGTGTAGAGTAGTTTCATTGATGGAAATGTGGAGGAGGAGTGGTGCGATTGATGATGATTTGAAATGGATCTGAAACCCTAAAACTCGAGAATTACCAGTTGATTCGTTTTCTAAAAAGAGGTAAAAAATTGATTCGATTTATCAGATCTGTTGAGATGAAATGAATTTTGGACTACTGTGTGTTTGATTTTAGGGTTTATTAATGAACCATGAATTTAGAAGAAATATTACCATTGTGAAAAAGGGTTTTTTATAGATACTGCAATTGGTGTTTAGCTTGAAATTTCATGTGGGAGTTATTCGGATTATTGTTATTGTTTGTCAATAGGGGAGGTGTTTTTTTTTCTGGAGAAATTAGTATTTCAGGAGCCAAACTGTGTTCAGTATTGATTGTATTGGTGAAGAATTGAACTATTTTGAACTTTTTTCTGGATTTGGGAAAGTCAGAAACCTCTTTTTGTAGAAGTTAAGAGTGTCTATTCTTTTTAAAATGCATGCTAGGCATCGGAGTCCGGTAGGTGGGTATAAGACTAGTTCAATGGGAATGGGTGGTGTGGCTACTGCCTCGCGGGTTTCACCCGATGGATCAGGGAGAGGTCGTGGATTGCATAATTCGGAGTACAGAAACTATAACCGAGGTGGATATGGCCGGGGACAGTCGAGGCAGTTTGGATTTCAGCAGCCTTCGCATGGGAACGACATTTTCATGGAAGCTGGACGGTTAGCAGCTGAGTATCTTGTTTCCAAGGGGTTGCTACCACCGAATGCTCTTTCAGGGAAATTGCCAAATGGTAGCCTAAAGAGCCCAGTTGGAAATTTTCAGGGATTTAAGCAACAAGATATTGATGAAGGTCAGACATCAACTCTTTCACGTATGGAGAGTGATGTGGGTCCTGGTAGGAGAAGGTTTTCTGATGAATATGAACCCGTGGGTTCAAGAAATTATATGAGAGGAAGGAGAAGAAACGAGTCCTTTCGAAGTTACAGCTCTGAGTTCAATCGAGAATTGCAAAGGACTGGGTCGTTAGATAGAGCCAGGGCCTACCCCGATGTGAATAGTCAAGATGAAGCTTTCCCACGTGATAGAGATGAACAGCAAGTGGCTAAAGATAGTAATGTGATGCTACCTAGTTCCCTTCCTGGTAAACAAAATCCAGATATAGAGAGTGCGGAGGAGTCGATGTGCTGTGATCCAAAATCTGCCCTGGGAGATTCAGGTAAAGAGACAGGTCCCATAAACACTGGAAATGATCTCCCATCAGATGGTGAACCTGAACCAAAGAAGTCTGCAGACATTGGAATGTTGGAAGAAAAAGCTGATCCTGTTAATCTTGCCAACAGTACTGATGGGTTGGAGAAAATAGGTGTTAACGAGGATATAGAAGTCAAGTTGTTCAGCCAAGAACATAACCAGACCAGCATGACTGATAATGATTTACTTAGCTTATGCAGGTTTGAGAAGGTTCCGACGAGAACACGTTCTTCATTGGCAAACAGAGGTTTGAAGGTTTGTCATGATTCTGAAGATGAGGATGCTCATGAGAGTGATATCCCTAAAGAAACTGAAGTGCATTCCCAAGACATCCCTGTGGATGCTTCCCCTGGTGTCATTTTATCAGATCAAAACCGTGATGTGAAAAGCCTTGATTCTGACAAACTGAAACCGCAGTCCACCGAGGAAGAACCATGTCTTACTTATGCCAATAAGCAGTTAAATGAGACAAACTCTTCATCCTTTCCTGGAAGTAAGTTAACGAGGGAGGAAGAGAAAATAGAGGGACTAACTGAAATTGAAACTTGCAGTTCTATAGACATGGGAAGAGGTCAGAAACGAGAACTGGATGACAATGATGATTGTAAGGGAGGAGGAACTAAGAGACCTAGAGAATTGGCTTCATTAACAAGTACTTTCTCAGATGTCTTTCTGTACCATTCTAATTCAATGGAAAAGCAGCAGATTTCACAGGAACCGAGGAGATCACATAGCGAGCCGTTAATATTTCCATCTGAGGAGAAGAGATTGGTAGACATTTCTATGATACCTGAGGGCGATGCGAGGCTGGGTAGTGACTTCACGGAAAAACCACTTTTGCCCAGTTCCTTTAAGGCTTTTGATCTCAATCTTATGGAAGCTTCTGATGTGAATGAGAACCATGATGCTGATCCTGTTCATATCTTCCCGTTGATTACTGAAGGTGTAAAACAAGAAGCACCAGTTGATATTCATCTCACCATGAGTAGTAACTCTGATATAACAAGTAACTATGCTAAATCTAGCTTTGATGGGAGAGATGTTGAGGTGATTGATTTGGAAAATGATTCTGAACAAGAAGAGAAAGCTTTCAATAACCCTGAGAGAAAGTAAGTTACACCTCTAATTTACTTGTCCTTTTACATCACTTTTTCTTTTGCGTAAGTTTCATTTTGTTGAATCGATTACTGATTTCATCTTCGTGTTGATTTAGCTGATTTATAGAGTTTGTATTATTAGGATTATTATTAACTTTTTTTAACAAAAGTTTTCCATAAAATGGTTGTACCTGATCTGCTTTGCTTTGCTTGCATCGGTTCTTTTCTAATTGTTGAATGTCTTACACAGGTCTGAAGTAGTATTCACTGGAACAGATGGCTTTTCTGATAATGCACATAGTACCAACAATATACCCCACGCTCAGGATGGTTATGGACTTATGATTTCAGAATTACTTGGGAATGATATAGCAAACTGTCCTCCTTTACCAGCAGATATGGATTCTTTGCACAATGATATGGGCCTCCACAATGGACTACATAATGGAGAGGTACTCTAGTGCCACAGTTCTCATAGGGAATCTTTGCAGTGATATTTGTAATGCATTTAATAAGTCCATTTACTATTGTTCTTCTCTGTTTCACTTACAATTTAATATGTTAACCTCCTGTTGAATGTTTTGAGAACACCTATTTGTATATTTTCTTAATTATTTTTCTTTTTCCTTCAGGGCATGCTTGGTGACGATGATTCAATATATATGTCCTTGGGAGAAATTCCGATAAGTATGTTAAAGATCTTCTTAGCAACACTTTTTGATCTGAACTTAGTTATTGAGTTGTCTCTGAATGCAATGCCCTCTGTGTGTGTGCGCATCTGTCCATGCATTAATGCAGTCATCATTCATTTGATTCTGAGTATGTATATTATGAAATCATGTTCCTTTGATCTATTTTAAAAAAATGAAACCATGTTCCTTTGATAAAGATAGCCCATTACGTTAATTTCATTATGTTGATCAAGTGGCTTGCCGTACTTATCAGGGCTTCATTCTTTGAGATACTATTGTACTTTTTCTTACCACCAGATTCACGTTCTGCTACTTGGCTATAAGCACATACAAAAATGTCTGCACTTTTCTGCCCATCCCTTTTGATGGGTGAGAATTAAGATACTAGGTATCTGAGGTCTTCTTTCTTCTCTGATCATTCTGAATGTATTTGCTGTAGGTTTTCTGTCACCCTGGGAGCAGCCGGCACAAGAATTTGGAAAGCCATTTTGAGGTGCTACGATCCAGGTTTTCTTGAGATGTATTTATTTTGATAACCAAGAAATCCCAAGGTTCAGTGGCGCATGGTTCGAAACTCAGGTGGATAATGGGTTGCTCTCTACTCTTCTCCACTTAAATTCTAGGCTTTTGTCTGTGGCAAGTTTTGAACCCGTGATGTGTGCCTAACCCACACATCACGCACTGCGCTGTTACCACTATATCAAACTCCTGGGGCTGATGTATTATCACAATGTTTTCTTTATGCCTAATGTCAGTTCTCAAAACTAGCTCTTTAGTAGTGCAACTTTGTAACTTTGTATGCCTTACGCAAAATCTTGCTTGTTTCTAGCTGATGATGTATTCCTTTCCCCCTCCCTCTCCCTCTTGTTTGAAGTTAGGCAGCAGTGTTTTTTTTTTGTAACTCATTTCTGTTTCACCTCTTGTTTGAATTGGAAAAAGGATTACCACCTCCTTGCGGGATTGAAAAGCTAAACTGGAAGATTTATAGCAGTGCTTTCGCATACAATAACTTGGTTCAGTTGATGGAAACTTTTGAGAAACCAAATTGAAGCCTATCTCTGTCAGACGAAAATTGTAACCATGAAACAACTGTGTGGTTTAGTTGTTTTTAATTTAAACCAAAACTACAACAATGATTCTGCTCCTTGAAACCTGTTGGCTGTTGAAGTATACATAGAGTTAACAAAAAGGGTCTGTACTCTGTACTTTGTATTGTAACCTGTGGTTGTACCACACCTTTGTTTTCTTCTTTTTAACCTCTTATGTCCTTTATGCTTCTTGACAAATAAAACCTCCACTCATTGAAATTTGATCAAGCTAGAATCTTTAAATCTTGAACTCGTGTATGTACATTTAAACATCATCACATGTTCCTCAGAACATTTTATCCTGTTGATTATGCATACTTGCTTGTTTGTTGAGTCAAATTTGTATGAGCAAATCTTTGGGATTTGATTGGTCATTGAATCACATATATCTTTGAAAAGCCCCCTCTTCTTTTTTGTTTCTGTTCTCTTTTGCTGCTGCAGCCTCTCATTGTATTACCTTCCTATAAAGTTGAACTTCTCTTTGATTGTGGATGTCTTCCACAAGTAGTTCATACAATCTTCTCAAGAATAATGACTTGTGTTTGTATTTTATGTAAAACAGCTCATCTCTTGCACCTTTTTTTTATTTTTGATGATGAGGTTTTCTATGCTATGGGAAGAATTAGTAGAGTGTTAGGAGCCATGGAGGCAAAGTTGAATGCTAAATAACAGGTTTTGTTCGTGGAACTCACAGTGCCAGTTCCATTGTGAAGCCAATTGTAAAATTTTCAAAATCCTATCTAGAAATGGGCCTAAAGTCTGAGATGTGAGAAACATTGTTGGATAATCAAATCAGTGTGTAAGTTTCATTTGTTTAATAATGGTTGAGGTAAAATAGTGGATTCACGCCCCCAATGCCTAGCTCGAGTGGCAAAAGATGGAGGATTTGTGGCTTAGGTCGCAAGTTCAAGTCCCACACCATGCAAATCGAAGCCTGGTATTTAAGTGGAGAAACAATCTTATAATGGTTTGGGGGTGGGGGTGGGGGTGGATTTTCACTGGAAGTGGAGCTTCAAGGAAGATGTGGTATATGGACAAGAAGAAATGTTCGTTTTTTTAGTATGAAATGAAAATGTGGCAAATGCAACACTTCCGCCAAGTAGTAGAAAAATATGTTTCAGGAACTTTTTTTTTTGGATAGGTAATGTGAGTGCACTATTGATGAGAAGCAGCAAAAGGAAATGCTGGTGAATAGTACACTAAAGATAACTTTATAGTGTGTATAGAAAGTCACTCTCCGAGGGACTATCGGGAACAACCTTCTTACCCCACGAAGGTAGGGTAAGGTCTGCATACATCTTACCCTCCCCAGACCCCATGTGTGGGACAATACTAGGTATGTTGTTGTATAGAAGTCAATTATGGTCTCCATGTCTAATATATTTGCCGAGGCAAAGTTGCACCAAAAACTAGCTAAAATATACACTTGGTGTTTAAGATTAACTACACATTATCCTTCATGTCTTCTAAATCACTAGCATTTCTTTCCTTCAAATTTCAATGTAATTATGTAACCCATCATGGGGTACAAATTTGGTGAAACAGGCCTTGTCAAGTTGATTTAGGAGAGACTTCTCACTAGGGCTGCGTATCGGTCGGTTCGGTTTTGATGTTTATCGATTTGGCTTATTGGTTATCGGTTTGTAGAGATGCTAAACCGTTATAGAACCATTGAGATATTGGCTTATCGGTCATTGGTTTATCGGTTTTTGATCGTTATCGGTTTGGTTATCGGTTCAACCGTTAAGATTTGACACAAAAAAAACATTGAAAATCACTTAGAAACAAGATGACAAACCAAATGAACCATGCACATGAGTTCACAAGTTATATCTTGCTCAAAAACAAATACTTTTACACTGTAGAATAATCAAGTGTTTGAGACGATAAAAAATAAAAGTAGAAAATCAAACTCTAAGTCAAGGATTTTATATACAAAATTGTATAAATATAATTATTTAAATTTACTATCGGGTTATGTGTGAGGTTCAAAGAAGATTATGTGTAGATCTTACTCTTATTATGCGGAGATAGAGAGACTGTTTTCGAAAAAATTAGCAGCAGTATTTGACTACAACAATTTAATGCAACATGTTTCTCTGTCAAGTACTCTGGCAAAGTGCCTAATTATTTGCTCACACAAAGAAGATTCCATCAATAATTGACCTTCACTTAGTTATTTCTGCAGTGTCATTTTCCATTTTTTCCCCCTCAAAACACTGCGTCATGTGGGTTTCCACATCATCAGCACACTACTTTACCCCACTTTGGTCTCTTATCTTCTTGGCTCTCCCACGTTCTATCCATATCCTTTTATTATAATCGTCATGTCTCTGATAGCTTGCACGTATTTCGTTTAATTTTAGTAGTATACCTACTACATTTTTACCTCCCATCAATATATATACGTGATGCTTTTGACTTAAGTTTTGAACAAATGAAAAGAAATTATAGAATTTATATTTGAGACTTGCGTGATTCTCAACTCAGTTCATTGATCATTATACTACAAGAAATAGTTCATGTGGACTAACAACTTTAGCTCGATTTTTTTATTTGTGTCAAAGAATTTATTATTAAAAATAAGTACAAAGAATAGATTTTTAACCAATTAAATTAAATTGGTTTTGTTAAATTTTTACAAAACTGATAAGAGTTTCAGGAATTCAAATTTTGAACTTTTGATGTGATATCTTTTTATTTTATTTTTGTATCATTGATTGATATAATAAGTTAAACTAACGTTTTAGATTTTGGCTACCGTTATGTAATAGCAAATGAAAACAATAATTGAAAATGAGCATGTTATAGAAATTGTCACATTTGTACCAAACAATGTTGTTTATGAAACGGTCACATTGGTGCTTTGCACTTTGGTTTAGCGGTAAAAGCGTTACTTGTGACGTGTGGGTCTGATTTACGCTATGAGTTGTCGAACATTGTAACAAATAAAACGTTTGATATTCAAGTGAAAAAGGATAAATTTATCATTTATTGAGATTTCAAATCGTGCACTATTTATATCGACCTTTCCTAGTGGTAAAAGTGTAACTTGTGATGTTGTACTTAATTAGAGCATGTATTGTGACTATTAGTTTTACACATTATGAATTTTAAACACCAAGTTATAAATTTAAGTGGAAAATGATAAATAAGTGAGTTTATTATTCATTGAAATTTCAAATATTGCATCATTAATAGCTAGTGATAAAAGTGTAACTTGTGATGTGGTGAATTAGACGTACGTCATAAATTATCAAATCCCGTCACAAACATAAACTATCCCCCAAATTTTTAATCTTATGTCATGTAAGTAGTAAATTAAATTTTTTTTTATTAATGTTGTCAACTTCTTCCTATAGTTCATATAATAATTAATAATTAAATCATTGGAAAAAAAATTAATTACGTATTATTAACAACTCCCAACCCGACCCGATCTACCCCACTCTTCTTCAAGTCGTCTTCCCCAAATTACCAGTTGTAGCAATTTTGTGGCTATAAATTTCTGAATCCACACCAAATCTAAGGTTTCCATATTCTTCAATTCCATCTCATTTCTCTGCAAATCCATCGATCATGGAGGAAAAGGTATGAACGATTTCGTATTCTTTTTATATAGCTTCACAAATTTACGAATTCATTTTTGGTTCCAAATTGAGCATAATCGATTCATTTAGCTGAATCCAATTAGTTTATTGCTGTTGTTACTGTAAGAAATTTAATTTTCGTAAATATGGGTGTTTTTAGCTGGAATTTTTACTCAAGCTGTGTAATTCAGTTTATAGTGAGTTTTGATAGATTTTCAGTTTTCATGAACTGGAATGATGGTTGTTTGTTTATTTTCGATCTTGATCTGAGTTCTTCTTCCTTTCAGTTTTTTTCATTTAACTATGAGTGCAGTTAAATCTGCTTATATTGGACTGTCTGTTTATGTTGTGTTCTGTCGCTTTCCCAACTTTTATTTGTCTATTGAGTTCATTATCAATTTAGTGGATTCATTTTTGGTTCCAAATTGAATATAATTGATATTGATGATTCGTTTAGCTGAATCCAATTAGTTTGTTGCTGTTAGTGTAATGATCGGGTAATATGTGATTTTTAACTGGAATTTATCCAAGTTATGTAAGTGAATTCTTGATCTTGATCTGAGTTATTCTTCTTCTTTATGTTGTCTAAAAGGCTAAAGCGCTGGACTTTATGCTGTAATTGAACTTGATTGGTCAAAGTTTGGAGCTTTAGTTTGTGGAAGACGATGAAGCGATGACCACCACACTTCAAGATTTGGATGATCCTGATCGGAACAAGGTTGAAAGCAATGGGTCCAGTGTTATTAATAACAATGCCCCTATTTTAGATGAGTCTAAAGGTAAAGGTATTGAAACTGCAGACCCAGTGGGTTCACCTCCCTCAGTGAAATCCTCACCAACAGCTAAAGGATTTGGCTTGAAGAAATGGAGGAGGATCAGGCGGGAAGCACACAAGGATGAGGACAGTAACACAGACAGTGCTAAGTTGTTGAAGCGTGGTTTGTCAAGCTCTGCTGCAAACTCAGCAAAACCTGTACATTTGTCTGCTGGAACAATCCGAAATAGTGATGGATCTGTTTCTTCAGTAAATGCACTATTGAGTAGCCCTGATGTTCTTGTTGATGGCTTTGGTCTTATTGGTAATTCTGGGTTGGCGATTCAGCCTATATTTTTTGGTGGAACAGACTCGGACAATAGTGAGGATCGGAGTAGTAGGTCTTCGTCTGCAGCCAGTGTTCCAAAGTCAAGGTACGAAGCACCTATCTTCCATGGTTATGT